TGATTTTCAAAATGGTTAATGTGTTGTTTTTGTGTTTGATCACAAAGTCAACACTAGGTACTCAGCCATACACTCTAGCTACACATGTATGTAATCATGATGTTGTACTTCATAGTATATTGAGTGTAGGTCTTATGTGAAATCAGTTATTGATTCTGTAAGACACCTTGGTTTTAGAACCTCTACAGGTTAATGACATTCATTTTCCCTCATACAATCAATATCTTACATAATGTCAGTTGTGCTGTGATAAACTGATAATGCAAGAATGTTGACACAATGCATGACTAACGACAGTTATTCATTGCTTAATGAATGTTTTTGTTGTACATAAGTCATGCAAAGCTGCATACAGAAAATGTTTTATGCTATATAGTTCTAGGCAGCAATAAATTAAATTCGTTTGGCTTGAAGAGTGTGAGTCTAAGATATGATGCTCTGGTTATTTCTTTTATCATTGATACTTCATGTATCATGTCAAGAGTTTGGTTCACTACCTCCTCGTCCAACTACTGGTCAGTATTTAATATCATCAATTATTATCTAAGACTGGTAGGTATAAGATTGTTTCTTGGTGAGGAGAATGTGACTATTGCTAATTTCTCAATGATAGCTGCTGGTCTGTTTCATGATTCAGATATCGATGGGCCTGGTGGTGATATTGGAGTTACTGGTAGTCTTGATGGTCAGAATGATGGTTTGTGGTGTCAGAGTTCCCTTAATTGGAATATGATAGGAACATGGTATTATCCTGATGGAACAACTGTACCATTGGGTTCTGCTCATGGTTATTATAATCCTAGTCCTCTGTTTGCTAACAACACTGCCACTGGTCAAATTGGTTTGTTAAGAACAGGAGGAATAGCAAGTATTCAAGGACTATACAGTTGTGTTATACCAAATGAAGAAGGAATCAATCAGACACTGTATGTTGCTGCTTATGGTAATGGAGATTTCCTTAAAGATGGTGGTGAGCAAGCATTATTAAATTACTGAATTAGATGTACTGTACATGTATTTAACTATATAGAGCTTCCAAAGATTGATGTTAGTGGTTCCTCCTTCCAGCTCCTCTCATCAGTTGATGCTGATCCTCCAGTGTTTAGTTTATCATTTAATGTCACTAATAGATCACCAACAATAGTCACTTGCTCTTTTGATAATGGAAACCAGTTTAATGTATCTGATAATGATCTGATACGTACTGTAACACCAGTTAACAATGATGTACAAGTACAAGTATCAGTAATATTTAGAATGAGAGTGTCTGGTCTGTATAAATGTTCTGTTACTACTGACAGAATTACAACTACACCTTTAGTATCTACTAATATGGCAATGAGGAATGTTATTGGTAAGTATAGACACACCACAATTAAATAATATCTTTTTTCTAAAGCTACTGGATCTCCATCAAACTTGGTCTACAGTGGAGATAGTCTTCTCTCAGTTACACTAGGCTGGTCTCCCTCAGCAGTGATTAGTGCTACTCCTCAGTATCATGTCTTTGTTAATAACAGTAATAGTATTATTATGAATGATAATACTACAAATACTGAGCTGTCTCTCTCATTACGTCCTGATGATGAATATAATATTAGACTAGTAGCTACTGGTGAAGATTTACCTAGTGAAATAATCAATGTTACTGTACCTCAAGGTATAATGTAGGCTACTAATGTATTTTATTAATAAATCTTTATTCAAGTTGTCAGTGTTGATGTACAAGGGCCAGTTATGATGCCATTGGATCATTCTTCCTTTTCATTAACCTGTACATTGACATTAGCTCCTCAAGTGAATGATACTACAGTAGAAATGTACTGGACAAGTCCTGATCTCATTGCATTCGATTCTACAACTGAT